TATCATAGGCTACAGGATGGGTAACTCAGGTTATACTATCCTTATGGAGATTGGCTTCATTAGTTATCACCAAGACCCTTTTCATGGTCTGCTGAATTCAGACTCAGATAAACAAACAAAACTCAAAACTATCCAAACTGCTTGGGTCAACTCTGTGTGAAAATCTTCGACATATTTTACATGGAAAGTGAAATCTTTAAAGCACTAGATAAGAATGTCTACTCTTAATACAATAAAAAAGACTCAGTCTTATGAAAGACCTAATAGCTAAATCCTGGAGAATACAAATACCCTCGTTATAAAAGCTACTTATTTTAAAATTGTCCCAACTTAACTTGTGTTTGCTTGTCTACTAAAAGAAGACATGAAATCATTTCAAAATAAAATGCATCTTTTTAAACTTTTACTACCGCTGAAATAATCCAATGTGCTAAATAGCCATAATGGACTTCCTTCAAAATGTTCATGACAATTCCACTTTTGACCACAATCCAAAACATACCCCATCTCTAGTTTTCTTATAATTCAAAGGGAAGAACTGTAGTAAGCTGTTAACAAAGAAAGTTTCTCTCTTATGTTAACTGAAAACAAAACAAAATAAAACAAACCAAAAAAACCCCAAGTCCAATCTAAGTCTCCTTAACACACACACACACACACACACACACACACACACACACTCTCTCCTCTCTCTCTCTCTCTCTCTCTCTCTCTCTCTCTCTCCCCCCAAAAATGTTTACAGACATCAGAAACACGGAGGTGCTAATGGCTGTTGCTAACACCACCAGAAAATGTGGGGAGGAGTACATATGTATGTGGGGCAGCTAGATGGCACAGTAGATAGAATACTGGGCCTGGAGCCAGAAAGAACTGAGTTCAAATCAGGCCTCAGATACTTACTAGCTGTGTAACCCTGAGCAAGTCACTTAATCCTGCTTGTCTCAGTTTACACATCTATAAAAGGAGCTGGAAAAGGAAATGGCAAACCTCAAATGGGGTCACAAAGAGTTGAACATACCAGAAAACAACAACATTTATATTTATGGGGGAGGATTAGGAGAATAGAGAAAGAGAGATGCGCAATCTGAAATAGATATGCTACCCCCATACCTCTCCTCCCCAGTCAGAGGCAGCCAAATGGAGGTTAAATTATTAGCTGTAGGTCAATTGGCTGCCTTGATTTGTATTACATTGTGAAAGCATTCTATAAATTGTAAAAAAAATATAAATGCTCCTTGTTATAGGATAGTGAAGCTTATGAGTCTTTCTTTTCAAATCACATACCTCATTATCATTTCTTACTGATAAGGTTCTTGTTACAAACTGGATTAATATAGCAAGAATATTTCCAATTCCTAAACGGGAAGGGAACAAATATTTATTAGGAGCATACTACCTGCCTGGCACTATGCTAATCACTTTACAAATGTCTCATTTAAAAATTTTCCTAAACAAACACAGAAAATTTTTTTCCCCAAATTCCAAACCAAAATGCTTTAGTTTTTTTTTCCAAAGAATTTATACATATACAATATTATTTACTATGTCATTCCTTTGATGCATTAAAGCTATTGGGCTGAGCAAAATAAATACGCAAACTTGAATACAAATATTCAAGGAAAAACTAGCTTTCTCATAAGTAGCATGGTATCATTCACAGCCTTACTTTTTTCTGAGAACAAGAAAATACTAAAAGATTTTGAAAAGAAAGAGTTACTGAAGAGTCTTGAAGTTCTAATTTAATTTTCCATAAAACACAGGCAGCCCCGCACAGTGAAAAGAAGACTAGATTTGGTTATCCTAAGACCACCACCACCACTACTACTACTACTACCAACACTACCACTAACTGACAGTAGCTAACATTTATATAGTGTTTACAATGTTCGAGACACTGTGCTAAGAGCGATACAATTACTGTCTCATATGACCCAGCTAGATGGTGAAGCAGATAAGAGTGCTGGGCCTGGAATCTGGAAGACTCATCTTCCAGAGTTCAAATGCAGCCTCAGACACTTACTGAGCAAATCACAACCCAGTTTGCCTCAGATTTCTTATTTGCAAAATGAGAAGGAAGTAACAAACCACTCCAGTATCTTCGCCAAGAAAACTCCAAATGGGGTCACACCAACTGAACAACAACAAAAATGACCCTTACAAAGGCCCTGGGAGGGAGGTACTATTATCCCTATTTTACAGTTAAGGAACCTGAAGATAACAGAGGTCAAGTGACTTGCCAGGTGGCTGATAAGATTTGAACTCCTATCTTCCAGATTTCTAGACCAGAGGTCTTACACGTTGTACCACCAGCTGCCTAGAGACATCAACTTGGATAAGGCCACTTAACCTCTTTCAGCTTCAGTTTCCTTCTCTTGGAAATAATACTCTCCCTACTTACCTCACAGAGCTGTTTAAAGGATTCCATGAGATAATGTATGCATAGCTGGCATTACATAAGCCAAGTACCTTAGTACTGTTATATTAAAAAGGACAACTCATGAAAATATCCCCTCAAAATTCTAAAGCAATGTTTTACAACACAGAGAAATGGGGGAATACAGCTATGGAGCAGGTTATCTCCAACTGCTCTATCTTGAGTAAGCATTATGACACTCCCTTTCCTACCCTGGCCTAACTCTGGCTGTGGGAAGGGTGACACCTGTGGTTCACTGTGCCATCAGAAATGCCATCAATACACATAGAAGAGTAGTTTCCACCTATTCTACCTTGCTCATTCCTTGCTTACTGAAACGTAGGCTGTACTTCCTACATTATCAATATTCCTCCTCCTTCCTGAAAGACTTCAGGTAAGAAAGACAGCTCCTCAGAACACAAAAGTTAGAGATTCCCGCAGTGTGCATCCTATACTTCTTTTAGAGTTACAATCAATAGCAATCTAGCCATGTATTTGCTTCCTTAGTATAGGGGCAGTTCCAGGTGACTGAAAAAGCTGGCCTTTACACCTAATTGATAATGTGAAAAGCAATGGCCAGATATCCTTAGCTCCTCTGCCTTAGGCTCATCGTAACTGGTAGGATCTCCTAGGAATCAGTTCACCTATTCTAACAGCCTGTTGAAGTCTATTTGTCTGACAGACACCTTTCCCACAGATGCTGGAATATGGGTAACTATTTCTTATCAGCTTTATGGCTTATGAATGAATAAAATAAACAAACATTTAAATGGAAAGGAATCATACCAATCTATCAACTTTCTCCTTATGATCAAAACATGTTTTGATTACCCAGGGTGACCAGCTCTGACTACCAGTCCAACTATGAGGTTCTAGTTTCAGTTGCAAAGAAAGGATTAGGAAGAAGGTACAGGTAGGAAAGAGTGCGGGCAAAATGCAAGGTTCGCAATGTGACTGAATCTAACAAATACCAGTAGTTGAAAGCTAAATCTGCAAGTGAAACTAGGAAACTAGTTTTCTGAGTTATAAATATTTTAAAAACCGCTACTGTACTGATGTCACTTATGGCTTAAAGGAAGCTAGGATAACGTAGAAAAAGCACCCTAAATGATGAATACAACAGCACAGCTCCTTCAACCCAACCAGCCATAAATGGATTCTCCCTTTGTGAGAACTGCTAAACTTAAAAACAAGTCTCTCCCTAATCCTCCATAGGTGCACATAGGACACTGTGCTTTGGTGGACTATCATACAACTTTTTCTTACCTCTCTGCTCCAACTTGTGCTTCCTCTTCTCTTAGATACTATCTGAGAGGGGAGAAGAACGCCGATTTGACACAAGGCCTTAAAATGTTAAGTTGGCATACAACCAGGTACCAGGTCCTTCGTTAAAATTTCAAGAGTTCAGGTACACATAGAGTACTGATGCAAACTCTACAACCATCCAGGAGACCCAGTGTTAAAGAATGTCTGCCTCAGTTCCCAGAACAGCCGAAAATGGTGTTGCTCCTGTTTAACTAACCCACCTCTACACCCTAGGTCCCAGTCCCTTCCAGTCACATACTGGGAGCAGTTTTAATTGTAAAGAAAGTGCTCTTTTATCAGGGATGCCTCCCCAGTCAATTTTACCTGGGCACTTTAAACATTATCTGCAAAGTAGTTACGAAGTGAGTGTGTGTGTGTGTGTGTGTGTGTGTGTGTGTGAGAGAGAGAGAGAGAGAGAGAGAGAGAGAGAGAGAGAGAGAGTGTGTGTGTGTGTGTGTGTGTGTGTGTGTGTGTGTGTGTGTGTGTGTTGGAGGAGGGTGGTTGGTCACCACGAAGGCAGGGGAGATGGCGGGGAGGGGGCGGTGCAGTCACGGGGTGGGGATGTGTGCAGACATATGGGGTGCAGGTAGTTGGGGGGAGGTGCAGGAAGTCCTCCCTAGTTTCTCATTGTAGTAAGTCCACTTCTGGGCCGTCCTCCCGAGGGCTCTTTCTTCCTCCCTCCTGTACCCCCAGGAACAAGGTGAGGAGGCAGAGGAGGATAAGGCGAGTGCGGGGAGTCTCCGGCCCCAGAGTTGGTTCCTCCTCCTGGTCCTCCTTCCTCGAAGCCTCCTCTCCCGGGCCCCGCACCGCAGCCCGGGGCTCCCTGCCCGCTCCGGCCCAGAGGCCGCACCGAGGCCTCGGCCTCTCTTAGGGGCCTGCGGGCCACAAGCAGACCTACACTCGCCGGCCACAAAGGCGGCGGCGGGCCAGGCCTCGCGGGCGGCCTCGGAGGGAGCCCGGCAGGGAGGGGGCGAAACCCAAACAAACAGCGGAAGCGCCGCCAGCACCAGGCCGCACTCCGCCGGGCCGCCGCCGCCGCCCCGGCTCCTCGGGACGGGGCCGAAGCTCGGGGCCCCGACCCGAGGTACGCTTCTGAGCCCCGGCGTGGAGGGGCGCCGCCGCTCCCGAGCTCCCCCGATCCAGCAGACAGGCGCCCCGACTTCCAGCCCGTCCAACCTTCCCTGCTGCGAGCCTCCCGGCGGGGACGGGAAGGAGCTAAGCTAAGCCTCCCCTCTCCTTCCCTCCTATCTACGGCTCCTCGAGAACGGAGGAGGACACTTACCCTGCGGCGGGGCCCGGCTCCGGCGCCCGGCTCCCTCCGCTGCCTCCTCCTCCCGCTCCGGCTCCGCGCCCCGGCGCTGGCGCTGCTGCCGCCGCTGCTCTCTTCCCTTCCTCCTCCTTCTTCTCTTCCTCCTCCTCCTCCTCCTCCTCTTGCTCAACTCCTCCTCCTTCTTCCCTTCCTCCTCCTCTCTTCCCTATCCTCGTCCTCTGCTCCCGAGGGGCGCGAGGGGCAAGCAGGCAGGCAGCCCGCAGCCGCCTCCCAGCGGCTCAGCCCCGGCGCGGAGGCACCCACGGCGGAGCGCGAGCACTCACGGGCACGCGGCCCGGGGACAAGGAACGGGGCAGTCCAGGCCAGGGGAGGAGGCGCGTCCGCAGCTCTGCCCGGCTGCTGGGAAAGAAGTGGGGGGTGGAGGGGGAGCCAAGAAGGAGCAAGGGCCAGCCCCTTGCTCGAGCTCAGGCAGGAGCGTCCCGTTTCGCACACGCTTTCCCCCAGCTCCTTTTGTATCCAGTCCTCATTTTCTTTCTACTTCTTACCTCAGTCTCCTCTCTTCTCTTAGATTTAGCCTCGGCCCCACCAAAAAAAAAAAAAGTCCTCATTCCATCTGCAAGCTTCAACTTCCTTTCTGCATCACCTGCCTCGCCCTTTCCCCTCACCTCCAGCTGCCAGGAGCCACCCCGGCCAACGATGCCAAATTCATCGCACCTTGCTTAGACTTCTCCAGAAGCGGCCACATCCCAGCCAAGAGCACCAGCGCCCAGTGTCTGAACCTGCTCGGGCTGGAGTGGGCAGAGAGGCATTGACTGCCTGGGTCAGGGAGGAAAGGATAAGATAGGAGGAGAGCAAGAAAACAGCTTGTACGTTGCGTACTCTTTGAAATAGGGTTCCACTGCTGAAAGAAGCTTTTATTCCCTGTAGCTTAGTACATACATAGCCTTTCTTACTTTGTTTTAGCAAATTCACTGATTTCTTCTGCCTGGTATCATTGCTTTGTTTTGATATTTTAGAAGTTGTATACGAATACACTTTTACAAATGGATATGTCACTAATTCCCAGACATGAATCACAATTGTAAATTGGTAACTTCCCCCCCACCCCCAATATCTACCCTCTTTCTTTTGGGGATCCTTGTCTTCCCAGCCTTCCCATTATACTTATTGCTAATTAATTAATTGGTCAGGATCCACTTAAACGATGATCAACCTTCAACAACGGCGACAATAGATTTTTTCTAGTGTTTTTTTGGTCTGCCTTCTTTCTTTTCTTAACTGTTCATCTGTATTTCTGGGGTGATCTCCTAATACCTAATATACAGTCATGGCACCTCTGCACTTGTGTTCATAAGAATAAACAAGATATTACAGTTTTAATTAAAGAAATGAAAGATGAATTGTTCAAATTTATATTGTAGAATTATTGATTTTTAAATTATATTTCTTGAATGGCTTGAAATTATGTAAAATACTAATGATTGTATAAAAGTGGGGCTTTTGTACTGGGATTAGTTATTTTTTAAAATGTCCTTATCCTTCACTTAACAAACCAATAGCACAGAGTACTTCGAAATCATAATGATGTTTAAGATTATAAAAGGGATAAATCCTTAAATTAGTATTTGTAAAGCACACTAAGTAATTTATGTAGGATTAATTTCGTTGGACCACTACTGGAGCAAACAAGTTTCTTTTAATCACAAGGCTGAGTACTGTCACTTTTAGTATTGTTTGGTGTTTTCAGATATACTTTAGTTACTATATTTCATTTAAAGGATGACATTGATTTAATTTAGTGATAAACCAATACCTGTTATTGTAATTCTTTGGTTAGGATCCACTTAAAAGATAAACAAGCTGATAGTCTTCTTTCCATTTCTTGCAAACCCCATTTCCTACTTCATAGAAGGATGAATTATAAGATGGTGATTATAATAGAAATTGCTGAAATGACTGGGCAATGTTATTAATAACAACTACTGATACTTACCTAGCTTTAAAATTTACAAAGCAATTTACACGTATTGGACTTCTAACCCTTCCACAACTTTTGAAGAGGATTAAGTGCATAGGATATGTGACTGAAATAACTAGGAGCATTCAATTCAGTTCAACAAACAAATCAAGCACTGGGGATCCACTAATTTAGGTGCTTGGATTACAAAAATGAAGGAACAAAGATTCTGTAGTCCTGGAATGAGATGGTAGGAATGGGGGAAGGAAGAAAGGAAGATATTCACTCAGTTATAATACAAGGAAGGTAGAATAAATTCAAGGATAAAGGCAATGTAATGTAAAAAAAAATCTGATACAAATTTTAAAGAATAGAAGAAAATCGATAATAACAGCATTTACTTTGCACTTTAAGGTTTGAAACTCACTTTACAACATATTTCTCAAGACATAAACTCAGAAGACAACAATGTGAAAACAGCTGCAAACAAAGCCTCAAAGAAAAATGCTGTGGACCCCAGCCCAACGAAATTCCTGGAAGAGTTCAAGAAAGAGACAAGAGTTGTAGAGGAAAAATTGGGAAGAGAAAAGAAAGTGATGTAAGAAAATTAAGAAAAGAGAATTAATAGCTTGGCAAAAAGAGACACAAAAATACTGAAGAAAATAACACCTTAAAAATCATAATTTGCCAAATGGTGAAAGAGGCACAAAATTCACTGAAGAAAAGAACTCCTTAAAAAGCAGATGTGGCCATATGGAAAAAGAGGTTCAAAATATCACTGAAGAAAATAAGTCCTTAGAAGTTAGAATTTGGGCAAGTAGAAGCTAATGACTCCATGAGACATTAAAAGACAGTGAGACAGAGTCAAAAGAATTTTTAAAAAAAGGAAATGTGAAATGTCTTATCAGAAAAACAACTGACCTAGAAAATAGATTAAGGAGAGTGAAAGTCACAATCAAAGAAAGAGCCTAGATATCATATTTCAAGAAATTATCACGGAAAACTGTCGAAAAATCTTAGATCCAGAGAGTAAAATGGAAATTGAAAGAATCCACCATTCACCTCCTGAAAGAGATACCAAAATGAAAACTCCCAGGAAGAAAATATATTTAAAGCAACCGGAAAGAAAAAATTCAAATATTGTGGAGAGGAGAGGGAATGGGCTTTGGACTCCTTCCCCTTTGAACTTCCCCATGAATTCCAGGAACTCAGCCCCAGAACTTAGATCCCTGGTATTTGCCAGAGGCATCAGCTAATAATCATTTTAACTGCCCTTTCAGAGTTGCTCTCATTGCCTGCACTTGACCCCATTCTAGATGGCCATCCCTTGATTCCAGCTACACCTACTCCATGACCACTATATATGTGTCCATGTTGCCCCATTAGATGGCTCCAATTCTTTAGGAGTCTGGCCCTTAGCACAACATAATGAGCTGATTCTTAAAAGTCCCATCCCCTTCTATTGGCTAAACAGTAAACCTTGTCTGACTGAAAGAAGGCTGGAGTCCAATTCTTTCCAGGCAGAACTCTTGTCTTTTGCTCTTGAATTTCAGGGTTCCCAGCACCCTGAGACCTCAACAGAGCCACAGTCAGGATCGCACAAGATGTAGCACCTTCCATGTTTAAGGAGCAGAGGGCTTGGAATATGAGATTCTGGAAGGCAAAGGAGCTACGATTACAACCAAGAATAATATACTCAGCAAAATTGAGAAAGGGGCTGAGAAATGATGAAAAGGAGGACAGAATAAGGGAGGCAGTACTTAGAAGCAAAAGAGACTTTTGAGGAGGGCCATGATGAAAAGAGGGAGAGAAGAAGAAACAGAAGAAAATAGGATGGACACCGTAATCATAACTGTGAATGTAAATGGGATGAGCTTACCCATAAAACAGAAGCATATAGCAGAATGGATTAGCAAAGAGAATCCAACAATATATTGTTTAGAAAGACATACACAGAGTTAAAAGGCTAGAGCAGAATCGAATATACTTCAGCTGAGCTTAAAAAAAAAAAAGGTAGTGAGTGGTAGCAATCTTGATCTCAGACAAAGCAAATGCAAAAAATAGACCTGATTTAAAGGGATAATTAGGGAACTACATTTTGCTAAAAAGATATCACAGACAATAAAGTAACATGAAAATTTTTTACAGCAAGTTTCTCTGATAAAGATCTTTTTTCTCAAATATATACTAAATATAGAACTGAGTCAAATTTATAAAAATAGCCATTCCCCAATTGATAAATGATCAAAGAGTATAAACAGGCAGTTTTGAGAAGAAGAAATTGAAGCTATCTATAGTCACATGAAAAAAAAATTTCCCAAATCACTATTGATCAGAGAAAAGAAAATTAAAACAACTCTGAGGTATCATCTCACACCTATCAGAAATGATGAATGCTAGAAGGGTTGAGGGAAAAAATAGTTAAGCTAATGAATTGTTAGTGGAGTAGTAGGTCCAAACATTCTGGAGAACAATTTGGAATTAGGCCCAAAGGACTATAAAACTGTGCATATGCTTTTACCCATCAATACCATTACCAGGTCTGTATCACATAGAGACGAAAGTAAAAGGACAAGGGCCTATACATACAAAAACATTTCTAGTAATTCTTTTTGTTGTGGCAAAGAACTGGAAATTGAGGGCATGTCTGTTAATTGGGCAGTGGCTGAACAAGTTCTGGGATATGATTGTAATGGAGTGTTATTATGCTATGGGAAATGACAAAGGAGACAGTTTCAGAAAATCATGGCAAGACCTGTATGAACCGATACAAAGTGAAGTGAGAAGAACCAGGAGATCATTGTACATAGTAATAGCAATGTTGTAATGATTATCTTGTCTTGTGAAAGACTTGGCTACTCTGTTCAATTCAATGATCAAAGATGATTCCAAAGTACTCACGATGAAAAAAAAAATGCTATCCACCTCCAGAGAAAGAACTAATGAACTCTGAGTGCAAATTGAAGTATAATTTTCTCACTTTATTTTTTTAATATGACTAATATGAAAATATGTTTTGCATGATTTCACATATATAATTGATATATTGCTTGCCTTCTTAGTACATGCAGAAGGTGGTGAGAAGGAAGAGAATTTGGAACTAAAAATTTTTA